TTTTTTTTTTTTTTTTTTGCTAATAACGTCATTTTTTTCTTTCAGTTTAGTCTTGTTTAGCTAATGCATCTATTTTTGTGGCGTATTTAAATGATATCATTGAAGGTGGTTAATGAAGAACTGTGTGCAACGGAAAGACGTATTGTACAAATGATTGATCCTAAATATGATTATTATCCAGCTTTTTATGAAGAAGTTTATTGTAAATCGTCACCTTATGGAGATCTCATTAACAATGTTAAACCCATTATTCAGGTAAATTTTTTTTTTGCAGTTTGACAACGGTAATAAACAGCAAATAAAAGTTGATTTAAGTGATTGTTTTGTTATTTCTTTGTAATTTACAGACAAAAAAAAAGATAATAAACAATGAAAAAAAAAAGTTTAGTTTTTCCCGTTTTTGGTGTCTTTCTAATTTCGTTGCTGTAGACTATTTGTTGCTTTTTTTTCTGCATTTTTCAGAAATATTTTGACGGAATACTTCGTTGCGCACAGGTAACAAAAAAACTTTATTTTACTCGAATTAAGAAAGGCGAAAGTAAAGGCGATGTGCATATTATTGATAATGTTGCTGTTGGATGTCAAGCGATGTGGCCGGCAGATCAGTGGGGTCATCAAGAGCTTTGAAAAGCAAAAAATAAAAAAAAAAAACAAAAAAAAAGAAGAAAAAAAAAACAAGGAAAAAAAGCAAAGAGTGATAGAAAACAAAAAAGAAACGAATAAAATGAGATATGATTAATTGATTGTAAATACTTTCGGTACATTAATAATGACCTAGTAATAATTTTCTTTCTTTGCAGTTTTAATGATAATAATATTGACATTAATGATAATGATGACAATGATGATGATGATGATGATGACGGTATAATGATAATTATAATGATGATATTGATAACAATAATAATAATAATATTAATATTAATAATGACAATGATGATGATGATAATGATGATAATTATGATGATGGTGGTTATGATCATGAAAATCATGACCAACAATGACATCACTGATAACGATGATCACTGAGTGTTTTAGTTAAATTGTGTTCTCTACTGTATGGAATCAGAAACAGAAATTTAGATTCTGATTCTGGTGTACATTACTGTGAGCTGTACGAAAATGTACAAGTTAACGTTTGAAAAATGAACAGTAACAAATCTTTTTACTACTTTTTTTTTTTTTCTAATTAAAACAACAATAAGTGCGGTAATAAAAATGAGAACAGTAGTGATAGTAATTAGAAATAGTAATATTTTTAGTAATGGTAGCACCGATATTAATGAGAAGAACAACAAGAAAACAGTATTCCTCTTCTTTTTTATTGTTTCTGTGTGTGTGTGTGTGTGTGTTTATGTTTGCCTATCACTGTATTTGTTTTTGCTAAAGCATTGTAAAAACCAAATGATAATTATTCTGCGAAAAGCACAGATACTGCTTGCTGTTTTTTTTTTTGACACCGGCTGAAGGAGCAAAAAAGAAATTAGAACTGTTAATGCTCTGATCATTGGCACCTATTTTTGGGTTACTGTAAACTTTTTTAGAACATTTCCAACAACGCAGTTTAACTATTTCCATACAAAGTTTTTTTTTTACTTAAGCTAAAAGAAAAACAGCAATTTTTTCTTGTCGAATGTAATCAAGCTTTCTTTTTTTTTTTTTTTT